GGCCACAAGAGGCCCCCAAGACGGCCCAAGGGGCCTCCAAGACGCTCAAGATGGCCTCCAAGACGGCCCAAGAGCCCTCCAAGACGTCCTCCAAGAAGGCCCGAAAGGGTCAAAATGGCCTCCAGACGGCCAAGATGGCCTTCAAGATGCCCACGTGTTCCCCGAAGGCTTTCCAACCGATTCGGGGAACACATGGTCCGATAGCTTGGCAGGTCTGGCTGTCAAGACAGCGGTTACGGCGACTCGCAGTCTTTACGCCCTCCTCTGAGGCCGTTCTTAACGACGCGGTCGTAAACATCATTTTTTTACAGAAAAAGGCGTAAACTCACAGTGTTCAAAAACGCAAATCCATAAACAATTTCATCTTTAAGGTTTGTATCATACATTGGGCGAGTCCTGTTGCCGTCCGTCATTTCCTATGCCTCGTATGTCTCATTATTTCACTGCCTGCCTCCTTCTTCTTTGGTCATCCTCATCGTGTCTCTCTTGTTGTGTATTGGCCTCACTGTTTTTACAACGGTGATCTTTTTTTGTCACAGTCGCACGCGCGTGCCCCTGGCGTCCGAGACAGAGCTATATGCTTATGCACGCGAGCGCTTTTCGAGGGCGAACCTGTAGACTTAGATCCAGGGTTTCGTTTTGATCTCATCCCCACCGCGGGCCCCTATGGAGGGCCAGGAGGAACGACGTCAGCGGAGTAGGAGGGCGGTGTACCACATGGACAAAAGTCTCTCGCCGAGGTACCCCTGGGGAGCTCGGGGGACGAAAAAGGAATACTGACAATGAGGAGGAGAAGGAGTATGATGATAAGGAGGCGGAGGCGGAGATGGAGAATTAGGATATCCTACTGTCGCTATCGTTGAGTATGTTGTGCGCGTGTTTGAAGTGCATCCAAATGGGGCGTGCCAGGCGCATTGTAATGTATATGACGTGCTGTCTAAAATAGGTACGCCCTCGTATTAAACTCTCTGTCCTGAGGTGCTGCTCGGGGCCATCCTGCGCTCTGCCAGCAACGGCAAGCGAGTGCGAACCCTGAGCACCGACAGCCAGCGCACAGAACACCCTGCGACGTGCGGGGCGTCTCTTTGCTCAGAGCACTTGACGCCTCGCACGAAACAAAATATATAGAGATTAATCCAAGACCTGGACCTGCTCTACTCTGCAAACGCCTTCTCGGCGAAATTCTCCCACACACGGCTGCGGTCCTTCCACACCTGCTGGCTCTCCTTGTTGTAGTGGTCCTTCAGGGCGGCGTTGATGGCCTGCATGACCTCCTTGGGCACGGTCTTGGACAGCTGCAGGCTCAGGGCGGAAACGTTCACATGGTGGGCCCATTTCGGCGCATCTTTCTCCGTCTTGGCAGCGCTGGTGTAGAAGAAGGCCGAATAAATGTGGCCGTGCGGAATCCACAGCATGGAATTCGCAGGCACCGTGAAGATAGAGACCGCCTCTGACCTCAAGTAGTCAGCGCCAGCGTCACTCGCCAGGAACCTGCTGGGCATCCTCCTCCTCTTCATCCTGCTTGTTCCGTTCCTCCTGCTCTCATCCCTCCTCTGTCCTCCTCCATTGTGCTGTTCCTCCTCTATGTTTTTTCGCTCCTCACCCTCAGTTTCGTCATCCCCTATCCTGATCTTTCTCCTCATCCTTCTCCAAATCCTCCATCCCTCCTACTTAAAGCTGGCATTCCTCCTCCTCCTCCAACTCCTCACTCCTCATAGCCTATAGGACCCCACAACCTACTTAAAAATGCCACCCCGTGAACCCTTGAAGATTGTTCACGATAATGCCCTGGTCGAGGAGGTCTTTGAGCCGATGCGTCATGAACACAATCGGGTGGTCCAAGGTGATGGCGAAGCTCCCGATGCCAGGCATGTTAAACGCACCTGGACCACAGCGCAAGGCGTCCCTCCTGAGAGTGACCAGGTTCGGGCGGTTGCCCTCGTCCTGCATGGCGAACTGCTCGCCCATCTCCACGGGGAGCTCGAAGTTGACGCCCTCGAGGTCGATGTTCACACGAGTGAGAGCGCCCGTCCATTTAGTCGTCTTCACGTGTCCGTCCACCGTGTTGATCTTCTCATCCACTCCGGCCTGAATCTGGGCAAGGATGGACGAGCGCACTCCACCATACTTGTTCTCTGGCGCCGTCCACAAGCACAACTTGTTGTGCTGCAGATCCTCGTTCACGCTCACAGTTCGGAAATACATGCCATGGGATGTCTCATCCAAGTAGTTGTCACCAGCACTAGCTGTGTTCGAGTACAAGATATCACTAATAACCTTCGAGTGCTTTTTATTGTAGCCACCAGCGTGCAAAGCCTGAGAGACCTGTTCTGGTGGCAACTGACACACGCAATGGCGAGGAGGATGGGGAGGGAGGGAGGAGGAGGAGGAGGAGGAGGGAACGGGAAGGGAGGAGGAGGAGGAGGAGGAGGCACCGAGAGGAGGAGCAGGAAGGAGGAGGAGGACGAGGGGGAGCAGGATAAAGAGGGGATGGAGGTGGGCATCGTTTCGTCGCGTACCCCCTCAGTACTGGTTCAGGAAACATCGTGGTTGCATAGTGACATGCTTGGGCCCGTTTTTGGTTTGCTGCATGCGCAAACCAAAAATGGGGCCAAACATGCGACTATGCAAGAGGACCACGGCCGTGTCACCCCACAACCAAGGCACGCTGCACGTGTATACTCAAGACCTAATCCTTGCAGTGAGGGGCCCCAGGACATATTACAATCACAGCTGCACCAGCGACTTTACACATCCAAAGGACCTTCTCCTTCTTGTGGCGGACGGCCAGGTACTCCTGGCGCTTGGTCTTGTTGGCAGTGCTGCCCATGATCTCGAACGTGGAGATCTTCCTCGTCATTGTGGTGTTCAGTTCCTTGAGCTTCTCCTCGAGCGCGGCAAGGTTCGCCTTCTCCGTTGCCTCCTCGCCCAACTTCAGCTTCTCCATCCTGGCCCCCTTCATCTCGGTGAGGCTCTCGATCGCAGCATCATACTGCATCAGCACCTCCGAGCAGTCTGGGGAATCTGGATGATCACGGTACTCATGGATCTTCTTCTTGAGCTTCCCTCCGACGCTGGTCACACCAGAGTTCCTCTTCAGGAGCTCCGTGCACTTGTCCTTGATCTCCTCCTTCGCCACCAGGAAGAGCGCCTCGAGGTTGCCGTCATCAATCTTCGCCTTGATGTCTCTCTTGCCCCTCATGGCAGCAGACCTCACCGATGCAGCGTCGTCCAAGGAAGTCCTGGAGCGCTTGCCTGGGGGCTGAAGGGGCGGAGCGAGATGCCCCGCACTGCTGCTGTTGCTCGCGAACTCCTCCAAGTAGCCCGCGCGAACGTGTGCCAGAGAAAGAATGTGAGGCTTGATATTGCGCCTCCTCAGGTCGCCGTCGTTCTCAGGGCCATCCTGACGGACATCGCTGAACTCCACGTTGCCGTCAGCACGGTCGGTGCCCGTCTCCTTCTTGATGTGCGACCTTCCTTTCAAGGGCTGGACTGCTTCGCCGTCGCTGTCGAAGTGGGGGTCGCTCTGCTGCATGGCGTCGAACTCCTCGCTGGCATCGTCTGACTCGGCCTTGTCCCAGAAGGCTCGGTAGCTCTTGAAGTGGCGCTTCGAGTACATCTCAGTTGTTCTCCCCTTGCGATCCGACTCAATCTCAAGGATAGAGCTCTGGGCCATCATCTGCTTCTTGATGGCTTCTCGAGCGGCCTGGCGGTCTTCCTTCTCCAAGAATGGTTTGACGTCCGCTCGCCGGCCGTCTGGGTCTGACGCCAACTTGTCGGCGGACTCCTTGAGCATCTTGGCGTTCCCCTTGAGCTGCAAGCGGTAGGCGCGAACTGCATTCCAGCCCTTCTCCGACAGAAAGACGCCTCGCCATTCTTTGGCGATCACAGCCTGGCACTGGGTCAGGAAGCACTCGCCTATGTTGCCGATGCTCCCGCCAAGCACCTCGACGGCGCTAGCAGCCATGTCCGCGTCGGGTCCACTGATGTCCGCCGCGGCTGCCGCCATGATGGAGTCGATCCAATAGCAAGCTGTTCTGAAAGAGAAAATCTGCACTCAGAAAAATATGGAGGCCGAGCAGGCACCAGCTCGCCTAAGCCAAAATGGCTAAGCGACGGTGCCCTAACGTTTCACGCAACAAGAGACCCTAAACAGCATGATGGGGGCACCAATGGCACGGCACGGCACTGCAGGGCATGGTTGTACCAGGAGACGTGGCATGGCACCGCACGGCACTATTGCGCGGCTTCTGGGTATTGCACGGCACCACGGCACAGCACGGGCAGAAGATAAGACGTTGTTTTTGTGTATCTTGTAAACACGGGGGCTGGCCGGGCACGACCACCCCCTCCAGCACGACACGGCATTTCCACATTCCACTGTATTTCAGCGCATGTCCATATTCCATAATATTCTACAGTGCATTGCATTCCTACGTTGCACGGTATAGTTACACTGCACTGTACTTCTACATTACATTGTATTTTGGGCGGCCCCCTCCTCCATGAGATTCCAGGGCCCCGAAACATTGACGCCTTGCCAATCATCATCGATATCATTGTCATCAACGCCATCGCGACCGCCATCACCACTTACATCGAAGCCACCATCGTAACCATCGCCATCACCACCACCATCAACATCACCATACCCATCAACATCACCGTCAGCATTCACATCAATATCGTAAGCACTGCTGCCAACATCGCCACCATCTCCAGCACCATAAACATCAACATCATGCATCATAATCGTCACCACCACCATCACCATCACCATCAACATCGTGACAATCATCACCACAACTATCGTCATCATACTTGGCGTCGTTGTCGCTGTCATTGTCGTCATTATCAGTACCGCCAATAACATTACCTGCACCATCACCACCACCATCACTGTCATCGTCATCGTCGTCGTCATCATCATTACCATCGTCATCGCCTCTGTATCTTGGACGTTTGTTTTTTATTTTCATGTGTTCATTGGTTGTTTTTTGATGTTTTGTTTTGCTCGCTGCGCTTAGCTTAGCTCCAGCCCTGTCGTCGAAGTGAGAAGCGGTGCCTCGAGACAACTTCTAAGAGTGAAGGCTCTAAGCCCCCGCGAAATACATCCATGCCACGCCGACGGTCGGATACTGGAATCACACTCGATAGCGTGATAACTCAGCAGCAGACAAAAAAGGTGACACGCATCCCGAAGACCACCGTGTCGCCTAGTCAGCGTCCATGATCACAGCCCCCTTGAGCTCGAGCGACTTCTCCTCGTTGGTGTCCGCCCGAACCGTGTCCGAGTCCAAGGCTTGTTGAGCACCAGAGCCCACGGTGCGCATCGATGTGCGCAGAGCCTTGACGCGGGCCTTGTACATCGTAGCCTCGAGGCGAGCACGGTACAAGTCCTTGGCCATATTCAGCATCTTCTTCCTCAGGGGGGCGTCCTGGCAGTTAGTGATGTAGTTGGGCAACCGAATCCGCGGCCAAAGCGGCGCTGGTGCTGCACTCTTTTTTGGCGCCATGATGCGCCTGATCTGATGTGGTGGCGTGAGAACGTCACCCGCACAAGGAGGTGGTTCGGGCACACCCCGACAGCGAATCGAGCTTGAACCCAAACCGCAAAATACGGCCCAGAGATGATGTTTGCCTGGTGTTTCTGGTCTTGCCAGTAAGTCAAGCGTTCAGGAAACACGTGCCGATGCAATGTAAACCTGGCCCTGTGGTACCGATCAAGTTCGCAACAACATACGATGCATCATGGGGTGAGGGCTCGGACTTCTTCGTGCCAAGCACTCTCTGCTGGAAGGGCACATCGACACATGATGAGCAGGTTGTGATTGCAGACGCGCTGCAACCGACGAGTGTGCAATACTTTACATGGTACTACTTAATACACGTTGCCTATGCGCACCACGGCCTTCAGTACAGCACGCCACCGCCCACAAAATTTGTGGACAGTTCCACCTAAACGACGTCTTAACGTGCCTGTATATTTCCATCCGACTGCCCGCGCGAGTCCCGAGGATGCCTTCCGATGCCAGAATCTTCCAAGAAGCCCACAGCCCCCCCCCCCCTACACTCCCAATTGCTGGAGGTTCCTACCGAGATCCTGAGGACTTCCCTTGAGGACGTACGTAATCAACTGGTACAGGGTTCCGAGGGGGGGGGGGGGGCTCCGACCATTCTCAAGAACGTCTTCCGATGCGTGAGGGGAGCCCGTGAACGCGTCGGAAAATATATAGCACCCCGCAATTGCGGATAAGAGTGAGGGGGCGGGCGCGGGCGACGCGGGCGTCGTCAAGCCGGCGGACCTCGTGGCCCCCACCTTCCTTGTCGATGGCGCTCCTCCTCCTCCTCCTCCTCCTCCTCCTCCTCCTCCTCCTCCTCCTCTCCTCCTCCTCCTCCGCCTCCTACTCCTCCTCCTCTTCCTCGTCCTCGTCCTCGTTCTCATCGTCATCGTCGTCCTCCTCCTCCACCTCGTCCTCCTCCTCCTCCTCCGCTTCTTCCTCGTCCTCCCTCTCCCCCCCTCGTCCTTCCATCATCGTCCTCCCATTGTCGTCATGTTCCTCCTCGTCGTCCTCCTCCTCTTCCCCCCCTCCCGATCCTCCACCCTCCTCCTTTCGTCGTCGTCGTCGTCGTCGACGTCATCGTCGTCGTCCCCTCCTCCTCCTCCTCCTCCTCCTGCTGCTCCTCCTCCTCCTCCTGCTGCTCCTCCTCCTCCTCCTCCTCCTCCTCCTCCTCCTCCCCCTCCTCGTCCTCCTGCAAAAGCAGCCCGCCGCAGGCGCCGAAAAAATTGGTTTGTACACTGAACGTGGTTTGGGTCGCGGGTGGGCCGCGGGTTCTCCACCGGGAACGAATGCAAAAGATGCTCGCCGCAGGCGCCGAAAAAATTGGTTTGTACCCTGAACGTGGTCGCGGGTGGGCCGCGGTCTCTCCACCTAGAACGATTCAAAAGATGCCCGCCGCAGGCGCCGAAAAATGTGGTTTGTACCCTGAACGTGGTTTGGGTCGCGGGTTGGTCGCGAGTTGATCGCGGGGTGGGTCGCGGGCTCTCCACCTGGAAGGAATGCAAAAAAAGCCCGCCGCAGGCGCCGAAAATGTTGGTTTGTACCTTGAACGTGGTTTGGGTCGAAGGTGGGTCGCGGGTGGGTCGCGGGGTGAGTCGCGGGTGGGTCGCGGGTGGGTCGCGGGTGGGTCGCGGGCGGGTCGCGGGTGGGTCGCGGGGTGGGCCGCGGGCGGGTCGCGGGGTGGGTCGCGGGTGGGTCGCGGGTGGGTCGCGGGGTGGGCCGCGGGGTGGGTCGCGGGGTGGGTCGCGGGTGGGTCGCGGGTGGGTCGCAGGGTGGGTCGCAGGGTGGGTCGCGGGGTGGGTCGCGGGGTGGGTCGCGGGGTGGGTCGCGGGTGGGTCGCGGGTGGGTCGCGGGTGGGTCGCGGGTGGGTCGCGGGGTGGGTCGCGGGTGGGTCGCGGGGCGGGTTGCAGGTGGGACGACGACAACAAACAACAGCAACAACAAACAACAACAACAACAACAACACGAATCCGCACCGCGGAATCTCACTTCAGCCACGCACCCAGGGACAATGAATGACCGTTCGGCCCCCTCACTCTGATTAACAATAAGTTGGAAGGACATCTAGTTCGGTGTTCCTGGGAGGGGTTGGTATTCTGGGCCACCGCTAGACTCCTGCACCTCTTTCGGGGCTCTATGGGGGCATGGGGGACCTTCAACATGATCTACGCATACTGACAGACTCCCAGGGTGACCCTGCTGATTTGCCCAGGGGGCGAAACGCCAGCAGAGGATTGCTAAACCATCCCTTCGACGCATTCCATGGGCGCGTTGTCAGTACCTTGCCTTGATTTACCTCACCCCGCCTCGCCTCGCCTCACCCCACCTTACCTCACCTCACCTCGCCTTGCCTTGCCTTGCCTTGCCTTACCTTGCCTTATCTTACCACCTCACCTTACCTTCCCTTATCTTACCTTACCTTACCCTTACCCTCACACTTACCCTTGCCCTTACCCTTACACTTACCCATGCCACTACCCTTACCCTTGCCCCGACCCTGACCCTGACACTGACCCTGGCCCTGACCCTGACCCTGACCCTGATCCTTGACCCTTACCCTTGCCCTTACCCTGACCCTGACCCTGACCCTGACCCTGACCCTGACCCTGGCCCTGACCCCGACCCTGACCCTGACCCTGACCCTGGCCCTGGCCCTGGCCCTGGCCCTTGCCCTTGCCCTTGCCCTTGCCCTTGCCCTTGCCCTTGCCCTTGCCCTTGCCCTCGCCCTCGCCCTCGCCCTTGCCCTCGCCCTCGCCCTTGCCCTTGCCCTTGCCCTTGCCTTTGCCCTTACCTTTACCTTTTACCCTTACCTTTTGCCCTTACCCTTACCCTTACCCTTGCCCTTACCGTGCCCGACCTGCCTTACCTTGCATTTCCTTACATTGCCTGACTTGACCTGGCCTGACCTTACCTTACCTTACCTTGCCGTGCCCTGCCCTACCTTGCCTGACCTGTCCCTACCGTAGTTTACCTTCCATGCCCTTGTCTAGCCTTGCCTTGCCTTCGCTCATCAGCATCACAATATCAACCTCAGTCACCAAAGAACGGATACAGTCCTCAAGTATGTGCAACCATCAAGTGCGAGGGCGTGACTGTCCACCATCGCCGCCACAGCGCATGTCGCGCCCACGCGCGCGCGCGCTCTAGCCCGAGCGAAGCCGACTCGGTTCCTGTTCGGTTCCTACTCGGTTCCTACTCGGTTCCTACTCGGTCCCTACTCGGTTCCTGCTCGAAGTGGTTCCTACTCGGTTCCTACTCGGTTCCTACTCGGTTCCTGCTCGGTTCCTACTCGGCGTCTACTCGGTTCCTGCTCGGATCCTACTCGGTTCCTACTCGGTTCCCATCCGAAGTGGTTCCTACTCGGTTCCTACTCGGTTCCCACTCGGTTTCTACGCGGTTCCTACTCGGTTCCTATTCGGTTCCTACTTGCGCCCAAGGTGGTGCTAGCCGTCAGCGCGAAGAGCCAGCGCGCCTTGCAAGCTGCTCCTTGGAAGACGGCCCTGGGGCCCCAAGGCCGTTACCTTACTTTACCTTGCCTTACCTTGCCTCGCTTTACCACGCAGCACGCACCTCCCCACCTCACATCACCTCACCTCGCCCCGCATTGCCCCACCTCGCCCCGCCTCGCTTTGCCCTACCTTACCGTGCCCTACCCTAGCCGATCCTGCCCTACCCGGCCCTACCTGACCTGGCCTGACCTGACCCGACCCGTCCTTACCCTACCCTACCTCACCTCACTTCACCTCACCTCGCCTCGCCCCACCTCGCCTCGCCCCGCCTCGCCCCACTTCGCCTCGCCTCGCCTCGCCTCGCCCCGCCTCGCCTTACCGTGCCTTGCGGTGCCTTACCTTGCCTTGCCGTGCCTTACCCTACCTTACCCTACCCTACATTACCTTGCCTTAGCTTACCTTGCCGTACCGTGCCGCCTTGCCTTGTCTTGCCTTGCCTTGCCTTACCTTACCTTGCCTAACCTTACCCCACCTTGCCTTACCTTACCTTACATTACCTTATCTTGCCTTGCCTTGCCTTGTCGTGCTTTGCCTTGCCGTGCCGTGCCGTGCCCCGCCGTGCCTTGCTTTGCCTTGCCTTGCCTTGTCTTGCATTGCCTTCCCTAGCCTTGCCTTGCATTGTCTTGCCTTGCCTAACCTTACCTTACGTTACCTTGCCTGGCCTTGCCTTGCCGTGCCTTGCCGTGCCTTGGCTTGCCTTGCCTTCGCTCATCAGCATCACTATATCAACCTCAGTCAACAAAGAACGGATACAGTCCTCAAGTATGTGCAACCATCAAGTGTGAGGGCGTGGCTGTCCACCATGGCCGCCACAGCGCGCGCCGCGCCCACGCGCGCGCGCGCGCTCTAGCCCGAGCGAAGCCGACTCGGTTCCTGCTCGGTTCCTACTCGGTTCCTGCTCGGTTCCTACTCGGTTCCTACTCGGTCCCTACTCGGTTCCTACTCGAAGTGGTTCCTACTCGGTTCCTACTCGGTTCCTACTCGGTTCCTACTCGGGTCTACTCGGTTCCTACTCGGTTCCTACTCGGTTCCTACTCGGTTCCTACTCGGTTCCTACTCGGTTCCTACTAGGTTCCCATCCGAAGTGGTTCCTACTCGGTTCCTACTCGGTTCCTACTCGGTTCCTACTCGGTTCCTACTCGGTTCCTACTCGGTGCCCACTAGGTTCCTACTCGGCCCCAACTCGCACCCGAGGCGGTGCTGGGCGCCAACGCAACGGGCCATCGCGCCGTGCAAGCTGCTCCTCGGAAGACGGCCCCGAGGCCGTAAACTCATTCTGGTTCTAATGGCCCGCGTCGTCCTCTCGATTTTCCGCAGTCGTCGATCCCTATGAAATAACAGCATTCGGCGGACCTCCGCCCGTAAACTCTGGCGCGCCGCTCGTAAACTCCGCCTGCTCGTACTCCGCGACGGCGTCCTCGGGGCGGGGCGGTGGCGGGGTGGGGCGGGTGGTGGGAGGGGGGGGGGGGGGGGGGGGTGCGTGGAAGTGGTGGGAGGTGGAGGGAGGCGGTGGCGCGGGGGGGGGAGGGAGAGGGACGGGGTGGGGCGGCGGTGTGTGCGGGATGGTTTTTTTTTTTGGGGGGCCACAGCCGCAGCCGCAGCCGCTGCCGCAATGATTGTTTCGTAAATGTCAAGTCTTCGGCCTCGCATGCGGCATCACGTTGCTTGAACTTGTGCATGATGCGTTCCAGTTTTCACGCGTCCAACCCAGTTCGGGTCAGACTCC